ATATCATTGTACATAATGGTCCATAGGATGGTCATATTGTTGTACAAAATAGAACATAAGTTCTACATAAAAGGAACATGTAGGCATATTGTTTTACATGATGGAGCACAGGGTGTGAGATCTTGTTCTACAAAATGGACCACAGGATAGGCATATTGTTGTACAAAATGAACATCCTGCTTAGCATAGGTCTTAAGCAACCCATTCCTTTGTCGGAGGCGACTAACGGGATCGAGTGGTCAGACTCGCTGACATTGTTGATGCATGTAGTGGTATCCTAATTGCGTGGATCGAAGCTTATAATGTCAATCACTGGATTTTCTAGTCCAAATTCCATTATTTACAGAACGTCGTCATATAGCTGGTATATTGCTGTCTGAGGCGTTAAACAACAAACAAACAACACATGAAGCTGTAATTCACAGGCTTCAAATTCATATATAAGATGGCTTAAAGGCAATTCTTGAATTGATTGAAGAGTCGTCAAACTACAATGCTAACATCAGGTGCTCGTTAAACCAGGACTAAATATTAAAATTATTTAAAAATAGTGTACATATCAGTAAAATACAATATAATTCACGACATGTTTCTACTATCTCAAACACTACAACAAAATATGTTTTGGGAAATTTTAAATGAATATTCCAAAACAAATGAAGGGTCAGTAAAATTGCTAATGACACGTTCCAACATGGTGCCCTGCGATAGCGGGGAGATACATTGTACACGTTAATGATTCTTGACAGCTGGAAAGTTAGCATAGATGAGTTAGGTTTGAATGCTCTGAAGAGTATTTCAGTTATATCCCGCCCAGTCAGCTTACTGTGGGAGGAAATCCCGAAGTGGCGCAGGTCTCAAACATTTTCACTTTGGTGAAACCTACGGGAACAGGTATGGTGCAGACGACCCAGAGCTAAATAGACGTATTACGAAATGGATAAAATGAAGCGTAAGGTGATAGGTTTCTCAAGTTACTAGACCATCGAGACTGTCAATGTCTAAATGGCCTACAACTACATATTCGATGATGGTGTATCTCTCGAGAACTCGTAGGTGTCATGGCTTCCACGGGACTATATAGGGATGCCTCGATCAAAGTATCGATGGTTTTCATATTACAAAGCTGCAACTAGAAAATATATGTTTACCCATTCAGGATTTAAATATAATTGTTCTGTATGACAAATCATGAATATGTGTATGACATACATGGTCTTAATGGTAGATCTTATAGTTACCCTGTTTCCCCCATGGGGAATGCGGCCCCCAGGAATCTATGCTTGCCGTACGAGGCGACTTAATGGATCGGACGGTCAGGCTTGGGGACGTCGTTCATAGCGTGTCATCGTACGTCGACGACGTGACAGGTTGCTCATAATATCAATCACTGGTTTGTCTGGTCCAGACCCAAATTATGTACAGACATCGTCATAAAGATGAAATGTTGCTGAGTGTAGATTTAATAACAAACGAACACATTCTGCTTGTTTCTTTTTATGTTAATGTTGATGGATATGTAATTTGTTCTCGTCGCTATATGGCCTAGACATTGGCAAATATTACCTCACTTTCAACAGGCGACTGCTTAAATGACAACGCCGAAAAATAAACTCAACCCAACAATAGTTACAAACTTGCAAGTGATATAAACTAGTGTCCAAAAGAAACGATATCAACTTATTTTCAAAATTGTTTTTTACTAAGTGAATTGCCAAGTATGAAAACATGCCAATTCGTATTGCACATCCCAAACACAGCATAGTCGATAAAAAATACCGGGAACACGTGATCACTTCCGGGAAAAAACGTAAATTTCGTGAAAGTTACATTTCCCTCTCTAGCATGTTCTGCACGTGCAGAAAAACTGTATAAAACGGCTGATCAGACACGTTGATATCACAGCAACAAAAAGAACACAAGATATGCCACGTTTGACAGCCATCGAGAGAGAGAGAGCCGTTGGAATGGTCCAACAAGGAGCGTCACACGTCGACGTCGCCAGAAGGTTGGGCCGCGCACGCATCACTATCACCAGGTTGATGCAGCGGTTACGTCAGACAGGTCAGACGTCAGACAGGCCCAGGAGTGGAAGACCACGAGCAACCACGCCCCGTGAAGATCGTTACATCCGGGTATTACACCTGAGGAACCGCACCGTAACAGCGACGTCCACGGCGGCTACAGCACTGGGACACAGGATCAGTCGACAGACCGTCTACAGGAGACTACGGCAGTATGCTATCCGGCCACGTCATCCCTACCGCGGACCGCTCCTGACGCCTCGACACCGGAACAACAGACTGATCTGGGCCAGGCGAGTTCGACGTTGGCAACGGCGGGACTGGGCACGTGTTATGTTCTCTGATGAGAGCAGATTCCTCATCTTCAGAAACGATGGACGGCAGCTTGTATACCGACGATTTGGTGAACGTTTGGCGCCTAACTGTATCCAACAGGTCCGGCCGTTTGGAGGTGGAGGGTTAATGGTTTGGGGTGGCATATGTGGTGACGTCAAAACGATGCTTGTCGTAATTCGTGGAACCTGAATGCACAGCGTTATCTTGATGACATCCTACGGCCTGTTGTGGTGACCTTTATTCAGCAACAGCCTCGTGGACTCCTTTTCCAACATGACAATGCAAGGCCACACACAGCAAGATTGACACAGAACTTCCTTGCCAACGCCAACGTACAGGTTTTGCCATGGCCCGCATGTTCGGCGGACATGAATCCCATCGAGCACTTATGGGACCACCTCGATCGGCAAATCCGACGTCGCCGTGTGCCTCCAGTCAACGTCCAGGAGGACTTGGAACGATGTCTCCTCGAGGAATGGCAACGCACCACTCCCAACGTCATCAGACGTTTGACGTCATCAGTCCGTAGGCGTGTTCTGGCATGTATTGATGCTCACGGTGGACATACCCGCTACTGACTTGACTTTGAGACGTGTGGTGTGACATTTCCCGTTGTTTCTGTGATCAGTGCTCTAACGAAATGTTCATTTTTCGACCCCACCCATCTTTAAAGGCTTGTCATATTGGTTGTACAGATTTTATCGAAATGAATTTTTGTACAGATGTTGTGAAAGGATTTCTCAAAAGCATAACACCAATCCTAAACTTCTGCATTGTTTAGTTTTTCTTTTATGTCGTTGCAAACAGGTGGTATCGTTTCTTTTGGACACTAGTTTATATTCATACAGATTTACAAATATCGATAAATATCATTGGTGTATTACCACAGATCTGAAGATTGTTAAGTTGAAAGTAGATACTGTGTTTTACCTTAAGTTAAAGGTAGACGACCTTTACTCCGCGTAGACATAAGAAAAGAGTAATGTTCTCTCGTACTCGAATTTACTTTGTCTCAACTGACTTCACACCTCAGTGTTCAATATGTTGTGGACTGTCGGTTCAAGCTAAAACAAATAAAAAGTTTCAACTCAATCTCGATTATCAAATATCATTTAAAGAATGTTCAGGTTACTCAAATGTAGTTACCTCTGTGAATAATGTATTTTTTACCATCCGTGAACTAAAGTGCTAGTGTTTTCCGCGTGTTTTCACACCTTGGATATATTGCATTTATTGCTGAATTTGATAATTTTAGGTTTATATTGTGTAATTGTTAGGTAGATGCACGTGTTACTCACTTCACATAATCATACTTACGAGTTTCTGCTTCTTACATAACGTGATTATATTATGGGGATCCGTTTTAGCGAGGTATATTCAAGTTGCTTTTAGTTATACAAATGTAGTCATATCACAATGCCTTGCAAACAGAGGGAGCCTTGGTCAGGAGGAGCATCCACACTATAATGTATCACGTCACCATATGCAGTATCATGTATGTTTCATTGGCTACAAAAACATAGGAGATGCGACCGCCTCCGTGGTCTAGTGGATAGAGCGTCTGTCCGGAGAGCTGAAGATCGGTGGTTCAATCCCCGGCCGCGACAAACCCAAAGACGTTTAGGGATTGTTCTTGTTTCTGCTCTGCCTGTCGCTTGGCATTAACATGTTGAAGGAGATAAGACAAGTCCCTTAGTGTGGGTCGGTCAGTATACTGTGTCTGAGTGGGGTATTCATGTCAAACTGTGGCATGGTATCTCAGTTGGCTACCACTATAAAACCGGCATTAGTCCGCATGCACATGTACGTTGCAACATTTAAATCCATTCAACATCACCACGCCGACAGAAAAGAGGTATATAAAAATATATCTCAGTATTGATTGAAGAGTAAACTTTCAAAGCAAAAATCAGGTAGAAATCAGAATTTATGAAAATGCATTTACTTATCAGCACAATACCACCAGTTATATGTCTGGCATGTTACTAGTGTGAAGCCCATTTCTGGTGTCTCACGCCGTGATATTGCTGGAATTTTGCTAAAAACGGCGTAAAACCATACTCACTCACTCACTAATGTCTTATAAAGAACAACAAAGTACGTTTGGGCCAAACTGAAATTTGCCACCAGAAATGAAGCTTCAGTAAAAGCGCTATTGACACATCCCTCACACCACAGAACCCTGAGATGGCTGAGAGATATCCGTATGATGCATGACGGCTGGATTGTGAGTTAGACTCAGTTTGATTTTGCGCCGCTTAGAACAGTTTTTCACTTAAAACACGGCGCTAAAGCGTATTGTAAAAGAGAACCAGAAGAGATACAGCTCTCAGCTTGGTGCAGACCAGATCATTTAAAGGTCGCCGTCATATAGCTTGAATATTCGCAATATTAAGCAACCAAAAAAGAAACAACTTTACCCTGTTTGGTCATATTTCACACCGCATCTGTAATATTTCGGTAGCTGTTTTAGAGCCCATATTAACAGATTTGTATTAATTTGTACATGTCACTTGATCCCTTCCCTACGTGGCTGGGACATTGCGGAAGCGACATTAAGTCATATCTCCCTTTCAAAGACGACTCTTAAAATCAAAACGCCGAGTTATAAACAGAAGTCAACAAAGCGTTATAACTTGCTGGTGATGTTTATTTCAAATAAAGTACAAATATTACTAAAAAACATATAACTATTAGTTTTAACATGAATTGTTGTATCACTGTAAGTAAAAAGTAGATAACATTAACTCTGTGTCAGTGGTCACTGGGAGAGAGGTCCACGTCATCAGTAACATGTTATCAGGGGCCGAAACGACTAACGAGAGGAATTTTGTCTTTTTAACTACAGTGAGACGATAACGATCAATACAGAATCAATGATAATTTCTTTTGAATCACTTGATATAAATTCTACTTAAAAGCACACATAACACACTATTAAAAAAGGTACACACTAAACCAATACATCTACTGTATTGAATACAAGCAAAATATATTAAGGGTATACCAATGAACAAAATTAACTAATTAAAAATATAGCTGAATAATGTTTCCTTTGTTAACTTCTTATCTTCTAATATCAACAAACTGTTCAAAGAGTAAAATTTAAATTTATCTTTGCTCAAATTAGGGCCGAATAATTCTCGTGATTCGCTTAATAAATGTTCCCTTATTTGTTTACATTAACATGTCAAACAAGAACGCAGTTTCAAACATGATTTGGCAGTCAGTGTGAGAATGATCGTTTCACAGGATGACGAAGAATGTGAGAACAGTCAGCAGCATCAAGAATGTGGAAATCTTCACTGTATCTCCATCTAAAATAACATATAAATGTGTTATTTGTATCCGTATTATTTAAACAATATTGAAAAAAGAGTTGTGAAATTTAACTAATTTAACTTGTGAGAGCGTTTTATACAAATACGCAGGTGAAGCGCTTAGGACATGACAACTCTCTTCCAAACAACGAATCACATTCTTGATCTTTGTAAATGTGCGTGTAATGCTCGTGATTGGTATACGATGAGACAAACAGGAGCTTTGATATATGTCACTAGTTATAAATGACATCGAGATAATAATATGAAATTAGACTCGTTCATTGCTTATTACTTTACTTTTATCACCAGTTTATTTATCAATAATGTATCATTTTTGTATTTTCCAAAATTTCTCTTTTAACACTAGGACAATCAAATTTTTACAGTTTTAATTTGGTTCGTTAATATTAAAAATGTTTCCCTACCGTTCTGACATGTATGTCCTGTGTAACCCCCCGCACAGGTACAGGTGGTGGGGGTGGGGCTTGTAACACATGTTCCTCCGTTGATGCATTCGTTCCCACCATCAGAACACACGCCCTCTGAAACAAAACGTCTCCGTTTCACATTTCAGTTAGTGTCACCTTATTCATGAAGCAAAAGCAACAAAAGCAAACAAAATATATAATCGATTAAAAACTCTTTCCATATTCAAAAGAAGTCTCTGCTAAAAGCATAGTCGGTTGCACGATTCCCACTATATCATGAGCATGTGTTTATGTATTACTATCAAATAGCCCTGATATCAAGTGTTCGCGAACCCGTCACAAACACATGCAAATACAAGTCAGTTGTTTACCTAAACAACAGGGGAGCATATCGTACAAGGCAAAATAGGGAAATATCTGGTCTAGGTTTTATGCATTAGAAGTTGCTGATTAAATGTGATGACCATGTTAGGCATGGCCAGTTTGTCATGAACGTGTATGTTGCCTGAGTTTTGTTTTTCTGGAACAAATCATATTCTCATTGTTACACCATTTTGAAGTAATATTGGGGTTGAAGAGCCAAAAAAAGTTGCCTTTAAGTTGTGTTTCAAAGGAACATGTAACAATGACATTTACGTAAACGCAAACTAAAGAAAATCAAAGTACATGTAGCCATGAAATATAGTATTCCACACTTGTTCTCCTCCATATGATTCTACACCAAATAATGCCAATATTTCGAGAGGTCAACCTACCCTTCCCTTAAAACTAACTTTCACGCTTACTTAATGAGGCCACGATTTCAACTTCAATGTCAATAGCTACACTATGCGTGACCCATTAACAATGGTTATGGCAGCTTAAAAGTTGCATTGGAAGTAAACTCATGTTTTCCTTAATGGTCTTTTAGTGTGGACAAAATCTCAACCTTCCGGGGACATTGCTCATGCCATAAAGTGGCAATAATAGAATTCAAATTACGTATGTCTAAGTATCATACTTGGTGTGTTAGATAATGAATAGAACCAGAATGTTTAGAACTTGGGGCCGAACTATCAACTTCTACAAAACGGATGATTCTTGGACATGTTACGGTGATTTGGGTTGGGGGGTGTCTATACTTGTCCGGACATTGAAGGTAGGGGTAAACATAATGTTACCTATGAAAAGAAAAGGCAATCAGTTGAGTTTAACTATTTTGCCCGCAATATTACATAACATAGATACCATACGCGTCATCACTGGAAAGAAAATGCTTCGTGTATTTTGTCATTTCATCACCTAAGATGCCAGGAATGAACGTTTGTGCTTATCACCAGTTGCTTCACATTCGTTGATATCTACAAATATAATAAATTGACAACGTCACGTACATCAACGTCACAATTTGTCATGAACGTGTATGTTGCCTGAATTTTGTTTTTCTGAAACAAATCATATTATCATTTTTACACCATTGTGAAGTAATATTAGGGTTGAAGAGCCAAATGAATTTGCCTTTAAGTAGTGTTCCAAAGGAATATGTAACAGTGATAGTTACATAAACGGAAACTAACAAAAAATCTAAGTACAAGTAGCCATGAAATATATACTGAACCAAATAAAAAACTTCACAATCCTAAAATTTTAACATTTTGACCAGTTATCATTGTGGGCCCTTATTGTGTATTTAAACAGTAATGGGCACGTATTGTCTTGAGATAAAACCCGTTTGTGTGCAGGTGATTCGATCAAAATCATGTGCACAGCACGGATGGTGGCGTGGCAAAAGTGTTTTTTTCAGGTGCAACTGGTCACGTGGCCATAATACCGCACGTGTTTTCAGCCATACTTGTTAGCAGTCATCATCAGGCCATAACTGAATAACGGACAAGAAGTAGTTACTTGACGTCATAAAATTTAGGAGAACTATGACGTCACAATACCAAGGTGACAATGGACAAATAACTCCACAGGTTTCTAAGTGTGCTGACAATCTCTCTCTCTTCTCTCTCTCTCTCTTTTATATATATTGAGAGAGAGAGAGAGAGAGAGAGAGAGAGAGAGAGAGAGAGAGAGAGAGAGAGACTCTGGTGACCTGGTACATTGGTGAAACTGCCCGCTCGTAGAGAGAGAGAGAGAATTGAAATTGTATTACCATATATAACCATATATGATTAATTTACAGATGCTCATAAATGTACATGCTTTTCTTCCACGTGGATTTAATAAATTAATATTTTCCCGAGATAAGCAAGTATCATATTTACCGGTGCAAGTTGTTCCAGTTCCAGCAAAACCGTCATTACACGTGCAGGTGTAGGAACCTGGGGGCGTATTTGTACATGCAGCATTCGTATCGCAGTCGTGAGCGTCAACACATTCATCGATATCTACAAATAAATTAACAAAACAAAAATAAATCTGCACTTTTCTAAACTTTGTTAAAGATCATTTGTCACGCACCCCCTGTGTTGCCTGAGTTCTCATTTTCACATCAAAGCCACATTGGGTTTGTAAAGCCAAATGAAGCAATCTGAAGGATTCCAAAGGAATATTTAATGATGATGGTAATTTGAACGTCAAAGTAAATATGTGTCTCCCATTTTAAAAAAATCCTTGATCTACTTCCAAGTGGATTAATATATTCTATAAGCAGGGAGCTAGTTCATGACTGGCGGGAGCCTAAAAGCATGTTATTCCGTGTCACACCTGCAATCTGACACAAATGTTTTGCCAATTTCATAGGTGAACCACACTTGTTCTTCACTGTATGATTCTACCCTAAATAATGACATCATTTCACTTAAAAATAATGACTGTAGTGACTTTAATGTAACTCTAACACTTACTGAGACTATGCTTTTAACTTCAAAGTCAATGGCTACGCTATGCCTGACCCATTAACAATGAATATGGCTCCTTAAAAGTTGCATTGGTAGTAAATTCATGTTTTCCTTAATGGTCTTTTAGTGTGGACAAAATCTAAACCTTCCGGGGACATTGCTGATGCCATAAAGTGGCAATAATAGAAATCAAATTAAGTATATCTAAGTATCATATTTGGTGTGTTAGATAATGAATAGACCCAGAATGTTTAGAACTTGGGGCCGAACTATCAACTTCTACAAAACGGATGATTCCTGGACATGTTATGGTGATTTATCTAATAACCTATGTCTACATTGAACTCGCTTTTAGACATGCTTGTAGAGTGCATGTCTTTGAGGATTAAAATGAATGGCTTGTTAGAATATAGAAAGGTAAACCAGGTGCCGTGAAATGGAGGTTAACGTCGGGTTCAAGTACAAGTAAACTGAGATACCATGACGCAGTTAATCATGGCTCCTCCACTCAGATACATTACACTGACTTCAAACCGAACAGGGGGACACGGGTGGCCCAGTCGTCTAAGGCGCCGCGATTCGCTGTGCATAGTTACGTCCCTCGGGCACGCCAGAAACCTATGATTGTGGGTTCGAATCCTGGTTCGCCCCGATTATGTTTCTAGGTTTGTCAGCACCATACCCGTGCTCGTGGGTTTCACCGAAGTGGTAAACGTCTGAGACCTGCCTCACTTCGGGCTTTCCTCCCACATTAAGCTGACACGCCGCGATATAACTGTAATACTGTTAAAAGCGGCGTTAAACCAAACTCACTCACTCACTCAAACAGAGCAGTCCTTGCCTGCCAGGCAGGAGAACAGTATTTTCATAATACGTGAATGTTTTTAATAAATGACACTGACTTTTTACGGCGTTTCATTCAGTACCAAGATTCTTTTTAATACATCTTTTATAGGTGTGTGATGAGGTGAAATTAATATCAATGAAGCGTTCAAGATTGCTGCACTTATATAATACGTACGTGTGTGTTTGGTTCTCTTTTCCTTGGTTCTTTAACGCCGCAGTCAGCAATATTTTCGAGACGGCGGTCTGTAAATAATCGTGTGTGCGTGTGTGTCGGGGTGGGGGTGGGGGGTGGGGGTTTGGTGTGTGGGTGCCTGTACTTGTCCGGACATTGAGGGTAGGGGAAAACATAATATTCCCTTTGAAATTGAAAGGCAATAAGTTGAATTGAACTATTTTGCCCGATATATTTACAGAACATAGATACCAGAGGCGTCATCACTGGAAAGAAAATGCTTCATGTATTTTGTCATTTCATCACCTAAGATGCCAGAATTAACGTTTGTGCTTATCCGTATGGTAACATTGCTCAATGCGTACATACCAGTTTCACAGGTGACTCCTGTGTAACCCTCCACACAGGTACAGGTGGTTGGGGTGGGGCTTGTAACACATGTTCCTCCGTTGATGCATTCGTTCCCACCAACAGAACACACGCCCTCTGAAACATACAAGTTCCCTTTCACATTTGTAGATAAAGCAAACACAACAATATTTCTAAATGAAGTCGCCTATTTAAGGGATCCATTTGTGTTCTAATATATGGAATATAGGAACATGTGATATATTTTAACAGTGAAACTACACACTTACGAGTGTCACAGGTTGCTCCCGCGTAGCCAGGCGCACATTTGCAAACATCTGCTTCACAAGTTCCTCCATTTTTGCAGTGATTTGGGTCAGTGCAACTTCCACTGACTCTGACAGTCAAGCACAACACTGGCAAAACATGATGCGATAGATTGTAATGTCTTTTCAATAATGTGAATTATGTTGGCATAATCAGTCTTTTAAAAATGTGGTTATCTTATGGTTATCGTTGTTACCAGAAGTAGAATGTAAGAAAATAACTACTAATTCCTCCTAATTAAAATAATTAACAATATGACAGAAAGTGACAACAAAGGAACTCACCAAGAAAGATTACTGGTAGTCTAAAAGCCGCCATGTCTGGTCTCTCTCTCTCTCAGCAGGTCCGATAGTTCACAGCTTACACTCCTTTATATAGTGGGAGATACTTGGTGAAGACTACGCCCACTAGGTATGATAAGGTACCTTATTTATAGTAACACTTGTTATACCCCGCGACCAACGACAAAACACACACATTCTTCTTAGCATATTATGGCATACCTGTTTAAGTAAAACCTAGTTAGTTATATATTTTGCTCTTAGGCGGAAGTATTCTTCGACGGAACTGACAACGCATTGACTGAGATGAGTTCCGTATGCTATGGTTCCTATGTGCTAGTGTTGTCAAGCTCAACGTTATAGAAAGAGCTAAGATGCGCTTCTAAGAACAGGAAAATGCAGTTCGAATTAAACACGACAACATGAAACTACTACCACAGAGGACTCACACGGTTTTTGTTACATATAATTTCTTTCAATTTCCCATGTCATCCTTCTACTATGTTTGAATTATTCCTCATAGCTCTACCATCACTCTATGCAATACTCAAACCGTTACATCGACAAACCAAATCAATAAATTCTGAAATTATTCGAACACAATAACTACAGTTGACCTCTATCAATCTGTCCTAACTGTTATTGAGCAAATTTTCCTTGTTGTGTTGAACTGACAAATGTTCCTACACAAGTTACAAGAAATAACATATGAATGAATGAGTTAGGTAGTTGTAAATCAAGCGACAAAACCATTTCCATATCCAATAGAAATTTCTGCATAAAGCAGTGTTATCCTTTTGTGTCAGGGTTAGGTGAGAGGAAAGCCTGAAGTCATGCAGGTCGCAGACGTTTACCACTTTGGTGAAACACACGAGCACGGGAATGGTACTGACGAACCTTGAAACATAACCAGCGTTAACCAGTATTCGAACCAAGGATCAAAGGTTTCTGGTGTTCCAAAAGGGACGCAGCTCTGCATAGCGAATTCCGGCGCCTTAGACGACTGGGCACCCCTCTGTCCCGGAATGAATGAATGAATGAATGAATGAATGAATGAATGAATGAATGAATGAATGAATGAATGAATGATGAATGAATGAATGAATGAATGAATGAATGAATGAATGAATGAATGAATGAATGAATGTGCCTTTGTGGTTTTTCTATCGTATTTGACAACAGTTAAAATAACAGTGGTGCTCTCTCAGTGAAATATTAATTACGCACTATAGAGTTCACTAGGCCGAAGTACACTATACATTGTGTAAGTGAGCGCCACTTAACCGTGGTTTATGAACGCCTCGCACAGTGACAAATTGGGCGAGTTCTTACAAACACGACATGCGTGTGTAATACCGTCTCCATAGAAGCAATGTTGAAGTTTATTGTCTTCATATCGGTGGTGATACGCATTAATCCTGTCACCCGTCAAAACCATTGTATATCCCCAACCAGCCTACAAGCTTCTGACCATCATAGGTTATTTCGGACCAATCATAATATTGTACATTTCTTTTGTACTGCTGTGCTAGTTAAGCAACCAACACTTCGATTGTATGCACGTTGTGTGAGTGGCGGGTGCTACCGGTACAGCAGGACAATCTGTTCCTTACACAAACATCTTTTATCATCACTGATGTTCAGTGACAACACCCGTGAAGATCATGTCCTGGCCGTTAGATGTCTTAGTTGTTGCTCATAGATCACTAAGGGTACGATTTCAACTGGGTTGATATTTTTATGTCATACTGTCATGATGCTTTTTTAAAAATTATTTTTATGTAATAATTCTGTTGTCAAATCATCTTGGCATACTGACGTTTTTCTCCAGGTGATTTTGAACAGTCATACTGATCCTTTCACCAGGTATATAAAAAATCACCCTTTACTAGTTCCTCATAGACACATTCACAGTGCCACGTGTGTCTGAGTGGGGTACGAGGGCTGGTAAAAAGGTATGGACCATAACAAAGTGAACAAGTCAATGAGTAGTTTATGCAAGTGTATTTTGTGTGTTGAGGCCGTTTGTGTATTAGTGGAAGTCAGTTGAACGTGATAGGGGTACAAATGGACACAAACATTAACAAGAACGACTATCGAGCATTCATCAAGGTTTTTACTTGAAAGAGAAATGTACTACCCAAGTAATTCATGACCGCATGTCACAAGTGTATTGGGATAAATGCCCTAGCTATTCAACAGTTGGGCAGCTGTATTTAAAGCTGAGAGAACATGTTTGTTGCAGTGTCTTTGTTGTCGATATGAGGAAGTGATGCCATGCCAATCTACATGTACATCCATGTATGCACCAAGATTATTAAATAACTGTATCGATTGGAGCCCGATGTAGCTGCTTGCACGTTTACATAAAGCCATATTGTTGCGATGAATTATCGCCAATGTATGTCTCTAGAATAATGAGTTTTGTGGAAGCAATATTAATTCAGAAGCAGTTAACCAGCATTATAATCTGATGTGGTCACTTACCGAATCATGTGCCCATAAACCAACTATTTTTACCATCGATGTAATATTTCACACCAAATACCATATACTATGTGGGTATTTGTAGCTTTGGCGGACGCCATCTTGGGTTTGGGGAAAAAGACGTTTGGATATTATGTAACTGCCAAGTCATGGATATGTATGATTATGTCGTAATGAGGGATCAGTTGAACAAACATGTATTCTGATTGATGTTGACACAAACATTTGTTTTTGTTGCTTATTTACTAGTTATCCCACAAAATTGGGATACTGAGATGATGAAATATCGCATACCCTTTCAATTCTGTGATAAGCTGCTTGAATATTTTAATACGCATATTTACATTGTTTTATCCTGAATAAAAATATCCCCCCTGTCATGAAAATGTGTAACCCAGATGAAACAGCATTAAAGTAAGAGTAAGTTCTTAAAATTTCCGAAAGTATGCCCGATTGTACATCAAAAGTTGTGAAATGTGGACACCAATGGCTGGAGGTGCTGCACCATTGCTCGATACAAAGGGGATCATATCCTGTTTTAATCACAGTCTACCCAAATGTACCTTATGGACCTTTTGACACAACTAAGAATACATTCCCTCTTCACTGTTGTGGCAAACGGCCTCCTGTAATCGTATCTTAGACAACAGAACATAGTTCTCCACAGGAGGTAGATACTCAGCTTCTACGTTGTTGAACATGTCGGATGAATGGGCCCAGCTAAGATGAATAGCAATGCTTCCTTGGTCAATGAGTGTTGTCTCAAATATTGATTTCTGAAGATTTACAAATCATTGTTGTGAGGTTTTGTTGTAAAGACGCTATGCAACGAAGATATTTGCCTTTCCTATATGTGATACTATCCTATTCTAAAGTACTTTAAAGTATTCCAAATTACCTCAGACATGTTCAAGCCTGTGGTGTTGAAGGTACATACCAACCTAATACAATGCACTACCATTGGATACATCTCATCATGAAATAGTTACATCATTGTCGTGATTACTACATGTGATTAAATGTGAAGAATTGCAACGCTGAATGTTAACCAAAAAGGTATATTTTGTTCAAGAGCGTTAATTGGCAAACAATAGCTTCCTCAATATACTTGCGTTAACATTGGTCTGATATCACTCAATACTTTCGCAAACACCAGAGAGTTTATGTTTGATTATGTCATGGTGAAATATAGAAAGATACCAAATAATACACGCAGTGACAAAAGTAACTGTGATTATGTTCATATTTATCATAGGGTGGTGTTTACCAACACACAACTCAAATCTTAATTCTGAGTTTATTAAAGTTTGTTGGTGTTTACACGATACAAATGCAACCAAATGGCCACCAAAAGATGTCTAAGATGTCTTTGCATTTTGTGTATTTACACACAGGTTATAATTGTAGGGAAAGAGAGAGGGAAGAATGCTTTTTATTGATCCCACTATGCATTAAAAAGACATTGAAACTACTCTTAAGCTTGTCTGCCAAGTCGAGTCCTCAGCTCTTGATGGATCGTGTACGATATGTTAGTCTGTGCAAAATATGTATTGAACTAACATAAAGATTACACACTGTCATCATCATAAGACATTATAATTAAATACAAAATGTTATTGAATTATTAACTTTTCAGATGGTATTCAAAACAAAGAAGTCATTTCAGAATGTTATTTTAACACTTGGAGCTTAAGACATGTACAGCGTACACCCTTTTCACGAAATCAAGCACTCATCCTAGCAGCCATTGAGGAGGTGCTCTTCAAATAAACTGTCCATGATTATCCCAAAGCCTTTAAGTCCACCAATGCACGGGTTTAGGATTTATAGGGGTAGAACAAAGAGATTTGTCCTCCGTTAAGATAATACCACGAGATCAAATGCGCACATGTAACCTCAAGCAAAAGTAATACATCTAAAACGTCAATTCCAATAAGGCAAGCGTCATCTCCTGATTTTCTGCAGATTTGTTGAGTGCACAGTTGTAGCAATGCTAACGTCATTTATAATACTGACGTAGTACCGAGAGTAGCTCATAACATTTTCGACCCATTCAGGTAAGACTAAATATCGTTATGTCTTGTGATTTGGGCAACCAAAAAAAATCACTGTCAATGTAGCTAAAAAATTGTCAATCGTTCTGACATTGAGGTAGAATTGTGATCAAAGTAACAACTGAACTACGTACACAAATTCTGATCTAGTAAAATACCTTAATAAAACCACACTTTTCAAATTCCTCAAAATTTAAATTATTTAAAGTGTCCTGAAGGATGTCTGCTGCTATTTATGATGGTATTTGGAAGTCATTCACTGTTAATAGTTTCGCATCAATGTGCAATGAAGAATATTAAAGTTGTAAAAGTACTTTAAGCACATGTGAACACCAAGCTTAGCTGTAAATACTTTATATGTATGGTCCCTACAATACAGTATAGTGACCCTTCCTTGCACAATATGGGGTGGGATTCGCTCAACCATAGTGATGCCACCCCACAACATAACCGATCCAGGGCAGAATCTGCCATGACGTTTCGGGGTGACATTGGCTTGACGATCATTTCGAT